AAAGTCAAAAAATAAAGTTTCTAGTTAGGGTCTTTAACACATTGAGTTGGCAACATTGATTCCCCGGAAGGTGGAAACCTCTCATAGTAAAAGCATTTCCCCCCAAATATTCTTTTAAATATCAGTCGGAACATCACCTTCGTCTGTGTAGCACGCAGTTACAAGAGAAACGACAAACCGGCGCTTACTTACGACAGCAAGTGTGATTCAAAAAAGTAAATATATTGCCATCAAATAAAATGAAAGAGACTTCTCAAGGTAGGTAAATTATAGAAAAAAATGTCTTAATACTAGTAATTTGTCTAAAGTATTGTTAGAGATAAATATATTAATGCATTATTTACACATTAGAAATTTAAAAAAATGGCGTTATTTAATAAAAAAAGTTTATATATTCTGTCATATTCGGTCATGTAACCTATTGGAAATTGTAGTTAAAAGGCTTGTCTATAAAATACAACAAAATTCAGCTGCGCATTTTTGCGCCTTTTTTTATGCGATTATTTATGATAAAATAAATATAATCTTTTTTTTGAAAGGGTTATTGAAAATCAATCAAGCTATTAAAAATGGAGAAAAAAAAATAAATATATGTAAATTATGTATACTGATTATCGACTAAGATATGCAAGAAAAAATTGTCGCCAAAAAACTATGGAAGATGTGTTATACAGATTTTTTATTTCATCTGATCTCTATATTTCTAGTTGCCGAACTTTGCCCACTAAACCACTAAAATCGTTGTCGATAGAAGTCCTAAATATATTTTCACCTCCATCTGCATCTATAAATAATGAAGATGTAGAAAGTACATCTGCCTCTGAGTCAAGTACAGATGTTTGTGACTCCGACGAAGACGATAATTTTTTATTGTAATTTATATGCTATTAAATATTTGTTAAATGTTCAATTTTTATGTATTTACTTAAGTATATTTATGTAAAAACACCCAAAAAATAAAATTATGTTTAAATGTAAATTTCATGAATTTTTAAAGTTTTTTGGTATACAAGGTGGCCATATTGGATCCGCCATTTTGAATTTTTGATTTATGACAACGGATTTGAACCAAGTGACCAAAAACGGAATTTCAGATTATTTTCTTAATTTTTTGACTCTTGGTCAGGTTATAGGGTAATCAAGGTCGCCATATTGGATCCGGCATTTTGAATTTTTAATTTCCGACAACCGATTTGAACTCAGCAAACCCAAAAGTCCCCGAATACCAAATTTTATATTTTTTACTCAATTTATTGATTTTTGGCCAGGTTTTTGGCAATTGGTCCCACTGTGCAAGGGGATTATATTGGTAATAACTTGAGAGCGGCGAATCTTAGAGAAAAAATGCAAGTTACCTTTTTTACGTATTTTGTGCATTATATATAAATCAGTTACAATGACTTGTAAAAAATGCAGTGGCGTAGGTTTTTTTTGTAAAAAAAGGGGTGACCCCCGTCCAGTTGTACACTACTGGTTGAACCTTTAAAGCTCATATTTTAGGGAAAATAAAGCCTATTATCATATATTGTCTGTGCCAAATTTTATTGAGACCGGTTAATAGATTCCGGAGATATAAACAAAAAATTATTTTTTTTAACAACTTCAAAAAAAATCTACAAAAATTGTTCAAAATTGTCCTATAAAAATGTTTCAAAATTGTCTAAAATTTATGTTTTTACAACGCAGTGGCCGAAAATGACAATAAATCAGGTTTGTATTATAAAGTTTTTAAATTTCAGTTTTTTTTTAAATAATTGTAAATAATTGCTTTATTTGGCAACTTTTATATAAACGATTTTTGGTAGTAGTAGTAGTAAAAAAGGGCGGCCTCAGCCTGGCAATTAGATCATATAAACGATTTTTGGTAAATCAACTTTTTTACGAGTTCTACGAGCTGTTAAAATAAATGACTCAACTTTGAGGACACCCGATATGCTATTTCATTAATTTTTTAAAATCTTTTTCTAGGTGGTAAAACCACGAATAAATAAAGAAAATAAAAGCAATTTTTTTCCTAAGATTTAAGACATTACAACTTATAGGAATAGGACTTGTCATTCCCTCTCAACACCAGTAGTTCTCAACATTGTCACATTTTTTGTAAAGTAAAATCACCATTTATTCTCTTGATTTTTCGTTTCGTATGCTTCAACCTAACAAAATAGAGATACTTAAAACTGATGCTTGTAAATATCTTGTATAAATATTCTGTTACCATATACGCAAAAAGGAAACTATGTTTTAAAAAGTGAAATAATTAATGAGAAACTTTTTAGATTAGGAAAACTCTATCCGAGATAACTTTTTATAGGCGCGTAACAAATATATTTTTATTAGTTCGATGTGCTTGATCCCTACAATGAAATAACTCTACAAAATATTCTAGTTATTACTCTTATAGAAATTTTCGATACATTTAAATACTTGGGCCGAGATATAAATCCAAGAATCGTAAAAAGTTGTGACGGAAAGTCATACATAAGTAAATCAATCAAAATCTTGTAACAAAAGTTTTCATTATTGGATCAAGATAACGTTTGATGGGAAATAAATACTCCGTATAATGAATTGTTGCTACTTGTCTTTGCAACAGTGTATAGAAGTTACGAGTTGACCATTCTCAGGACTATCCAAAATTCGCTATAAAATTTTATCACATTTACTTACAATGCAAAGAAACTGCGCATTTTTAATTCTTATTGTTACTCTGTGCATTCTATGCTGACATATTTGACAATTTGAATTTTGTATACATTCACACCTTACAATTAGTCTACAATCTGACATTGTCTGCTTTTCTACTAACCAATTTCAGCTGGAATTGCAAAATAATCCATACTATTACGCGGATAATCCACATTTTAAGATGAGCTATCGACGTTGGCCATTCGAACTGGCCAATCAAAGAGGATTAAAATAATTAATCGAATACGTCGGCGAAGGGTCACTTGAAAAATGATGTCAAATCTTAGTTACTATTCCAAGAAGATTACATTGAGTCAAATTAATTCGTTTAAAACTTCACATCCTTGTAATATCACGTAATTCTAAAGTAAGTTGTTGCAAATATCCCCTTTGTCCTTTTCACGAAGTAAAGTGCAGTTTTTAATTCTTAGGGATTAACTTTAATTTTGATTGCAAAATCACAGCATGCTTATGCTGACATTTTTTTTTATAGAACTTCTAGAGTATACAAACTTATAAAGTAGTTATAAGTGGCTTCTAATTGCATTTTTAAAATAAAGCGTTCATTTTTTTCCAGTAGTAAAGTGCCATTTTAATCCCTAGGGATTGAGTTTAATTTTAAATGCAAGACCACAGCACTTTTACATATATTCTTCATAGTTTCTTATAGTAAATACAATGAAATACTAATTCGATTTTCACGGAGTAAAGTACCATTTTTAGTTCCTTGGAATTAAATTTAATTCTAAGTGCAATACCAAAGGAATTTATACATATTCATAGATTTGTTTAAGTATATGAAATGATAAAGGAAGTTATAAATATTCAGTTTTAAGTAAAAAATGCAGTTTTAGTTTTTATTTCCACGGAATAAAGTGCCATTTTTAATTCCTAGGGATTGAGTTTAATTTTAAATGCAATACCACAGCATTTTTGCATATATTCTTCATAGTTTCTTATAACAAATATATGAAATACTAAAGTAAGCTATAAATATGCAGACTGAAACAAAAAGTGATGTTTTAGTTTAGATTTTCACAGAGTAAAATACCATCTTTAGTGCCTTGGGATTAAATTTAATTGCAACACCAATGGAATTTATACTTATTCATAGATTTGTTTAAATATATGAAATGATAAAGGAAGTTATAAATATGCAATTTTAAGTAAAAAATGCAGTTTTAGTTTTTATTTCCACGGAATAAAGTGCCATTTTTAATTATAGGGATTGAGTTTAATTTTAAATGCAATACCACAGTATTTTTGCATATATTCTTCATAGTTTCTTAAAACAAATATACGAAATACTAAAATAAGCTATAAATATTCAGTCTTAGTCGTGCTGTATTAGTTTAGATTTACACGGAGTAAAGTACCGTCTTTAGTTCCTAGGGATTAAATTTAATTCTAAGTGAAATACCAAAGGAATTTATACTTATTCATAGATTTGTTTAAATATATGAAATGATAAAGGAAGTTTAAATATGCAGTAAGTAAAAAGTGCAGTTTTAGTTTTTATTTTCACGGAGTAAAGTGCCATTTTTTATCCCTAAGGATTGAGTTTAATTTTAAATGCAAGACCACAGCATTTTTACATATATTCTTCATAGTCTCTTATAGTAAATATAATGAAATACTAAAGTTATAAATATGCAATCTTTAATAAAAAGCGCTGTTTTTGTTTAGATTTTCACGGAGTAAAGTACCATTTTTAGATCCTTGGGATTAAATTTAATTTTAAGTGCAATACCAAAGGAATTTATATATATTCATAGATTTGCTTGAATATGAAATGATAACGTAAGTTATAAATATGCAGTCTTAAGTAAAAAGTGCAGTTTTAGTTTTTATTTCCACGAAATAAAGTGCCATTTTTAATCCCTAGGGATTGAGTTTAATTTTAAATGCAATACCGCAGCATTTATACATATATTTATCATAGTCTGTTGAATAAATATATGAAATGGTTAAGTAAGTTATAAATATGCAATCTTAAATAAAAAGTGTTGTTTTAGTTTAGATTTTCACCATTTTTAGTTCCTTGGGATTAAGTTTAATTTTAAGTGCAGTACCAAAAGAATTTATACATAATAAATTCTTCATACATTTGCTTGAGTATATGAAATGATAAAGTAAGTTAAAAAAATGCAATCTTAAATAAAAAGTGCAGTTTTAGTTTTTATTTTCACGGAATAAAATGCCATTTTTAATCCCTAGGGTTGAATTTCATTTTAAATGCAAGTCTGTAATGTTTAACGTATATTATTATAGAGCTGCTATTTCAACTTTAAATATTTTTATGAGAAAGACTGAGGTAATAAAAATAGTTTATTCAAAATATATTACACAATCTAGACAGGTAAAAATTACTATAAATCTCCCTTTAATCTGCTTGATATTTCGTCCAATTCGACAATTCTCCTCTCCTTAACCACCTTCTTGTACCACTGCACCGACTTTTTTGGCGTCCTCTTCCTGTCCGGGTCAGAAAAGTCCACGTGGTACAGCCCGAATTTTTCGCTGAAATTAAGTAAAATATAGTTGAAATTCGAGTAGTTTCGCTCGAGAAAAATGTATTATTACGTCCTTGAGACATTGTCCGTGGAAGACGACGGCGGCGTCGCTCTTCCTTGCACAGGGCTCTATATCCGGGTAACAACATTAAAATTACATACTTTACGATCATCTAACCTTCGAATGCATCTCGCTACGCCGAACAAATCATAAAACGGCAAAACTCCGGGAAGTAACATATGAGTAATATAATTTGGTGCTACAAACTTGTTATATTTATTTACATCATGTTTTATGTCACAGTAAAATGTTAGTGTTGTTGCCGAACAAGTATAACGCAATATGAATGGAATATAGTTTTCGAATGGACTATAAAACCGAGTTAGAATTACCTGTAGCCTTCCATCCACTCGAAATTGTCCAGCAGACTCCACGCAGCGAAGCCCTTGACGTTGACTTTGTCCTCGTGGATGGAGTCCAGGATAGCGCTCAAGTATTTCTAAAAAAGGTAGATGAAGAAATGTAGAGAAGCATGTGAGTCAAATCAAGTCAAGTGGACCCCCATTTTCCACTTGATCATGGAATTTGTATTCATACATTTTAATCAAATCGACGCTTTAGTACGAAAACATGCTATCTTAGATTTCGGTTGGAAAACATGCTCAGATCTTTAGGTAAAAACAAGCTATCTCAGTGTGACTAGAAATTTAAATTGACACATTGAATGATTGAAACCGTGCATTTATAATAAACATATACAGGGTGTTTTTGAATGGAATGTTCACCCCTGAAGAGATATGGGCCATCAAAGTTTCCAAAAAAATTATGAAAATTTTTTACAGGTTGTTTACTAATGCAGATGCGAGTTTTCGACTATTTTTCGAAAATTTTAACCCCTCGAAAGGGGTTGAAATAGCCACCCCTCAAACCATTTTTTGCCATAACTTTTATATTTCGTAAAAACTCGATATCCAAAAATACGCATTAGATAAACTGATTCTTTTAGAAACTTTTACCTCTAGCAATTTTTCTTTAAAACTTTTCGTTTTAAAAAAATAAAATGTATTACCATTCACCTCACATAACTTACAGAAGAGTTAATTGTGACAACTGGCATGACAGCAGCACACTTTGTTTTTCTTTGATTGATTGCAATCATATACGGTGTGAGGTGAATGGTAATACATTTTATTTTTTTATTAATAAACGAAAAGTTTTAAAGGAAAATTGCTAGAGAGGTAAAAGTTTCTAAAAGAATCAGTTTATCTAATGCGTATTTTTGGATATCGAGTTTTTACGAAATATAAAAGTTATGGCAAAAAATGGCTTGAGGGGTGGCTATTTCAACCCCTTTCGAGGGGTTAAAATTTTCGAAAAATAGTCGAAAATCGCATCTGCATTAGTAAACAACCTGTAAAAAATTTGTTATTTGTATCTCGTTCGGTTTTCAAATTACAACCAATTTTCATATTTTTTTTTAATGGCCCATATCTCTTAAGGGTGAACATTTTACTAAGGCGATTTTTTGCAGATCGTCTTCTTTTGAAATGTAGATTCATTGCTATCATTTATGCTACTCCATTCAAAAACACCCTGTATAATATATTTTTAAAAAAGTAAGGAATGTTTATGTTCAGGTACACTGTTTATTTTATTTTTTTTATTCAACATTTTTCAATTAATTTTGTTACTGTTATAAACGACAAAATTGTTAATTAAAAAAATAGTATAATATGTAGTATGCTGCAACACGTACGTTACTCGACGTTTTTTTAAATAGGTAACAAATTATAAAAAAAATAGTGTATACCTTAATATATAAAAATGTTTGTTATTACAAAAATTACTCGATTTTTTTCATAAATTAATAGTGCACTCTTACCTGATTTATAGTCACTACTCTTACTTTTGTTAATATCTTAATCTTAACTACCCGAAAAAAAATTTTTTTTCGCATTTTTTTCGAGAAATAATTATTGACAATGGTACCAATAAACAATTTTTTAAAAAACAATATTTTTATGTAAAAAAATGGCATGCTTTTATTCGTATTCAGCGATAACAAAAACCTTTTATGCATATTTCTTCAATTTTCATTTTTCCACACCCTCACCCCTCACTTCCACCCCTAAAATAGGGATGAAAATATTTTCATTAATTTTTCCTTAACTTGTTTCAATTGGGCATTGATTCCACCAAAATGTGTCTTAATTTCACTCTATTTATCGAAGATATAAAATTATTGAACGAAGAAAATCAATTCTCACTTTTTTAACCTATTCACCCTTCATTTTCACTCCCAAAATAGGGGATGATGACATTCGCAATAATTTTCCCTAAATCTGCATCAAATAAGCGTAATATAAAAAAAATGTAAAACGATTCGTTAATTCTTCTTCGAGATATTTGATTTTGACATAAAAATATGCCGTATTACCACCATAAAACGACATCAGGGGTGGCGTTATAGTACGGTAACGGAGACATAGTGGAAAATTTAACGAAGATGTCAACTTTTGATGACAGTTTTGCGAAAAGAATATTTTTTGTTAAATTCAGAACCTACATATAGAGTGACTCATGATTAGATATAAAAAAATGAACCGAAACTTCTTCTTGCCAAAACAGAATAATTGTTTTGTTCCAAAACGTCTCCTTACAAGGATACAGGGTGTTGAAATTAATAAGGAAAAATAGTATTTTCATAAGAGCGGCTTAAAGATTTATTTTGAAATTTGGTGTAGCATTATGATTCACGTATCATTAAATTTATTGCAACACAGCGTCTATTCTAAAATATAAAACATAGACAAACGAACCTGATAATATTTTATTCTCTTTACGTCGTTAAGTTCTCCATTGTCGGAAAATCCATTTTCCGTTATAATGATTTCTGGATCGTCATAATTCTCTTTAACCCATTTCAACAATTTCCTCGTACCTTCTGGATAAATCTAAAAAAATAAAATAAAAATTCGTTAGCGAAAACCTAAATAACTCCCATAATTATTCTAGAAATAAATGTAACATTTTAACCGGTATAATTATTGTTAGTATTAGTTAGTAAGAGAATTTCAAGATAGTGAACCATTCGCATAAGTTAAATATTGTTTTAATTAATGGGGAACTCATTAGCATTACTTTAATGGGTACGAAGTGCCGGACGAAGTGTGACTTTTCTAAAACGTCGATTAGACAAGAGTTGTTGCTTTGATGAGCGAAATGCGTTGTTAAAATTATTTGTTGATATCGGAATGACTTATTATAAGGTATATGAACTCATAAACAAGTATGCAAGTTATTATACAAAATAAATTAAATATTACATAATATATACAGTTCACTTACACACAAATACAATCTTACACAGCTTATAACAGAAAATCATAGCATTTTTGGTACAAAAATGAAGAAAACGTTTTTTTATATTCTTCACTAGTTAAAATAAAGCATTTTTATTACTAACATTTTTACACAGAACAAAATAAATCAGTATGTGACTTAATAATTTAATTTGCGACTGTAAGATTTTTGTGTGTTGTCAATATCTTTTCTTAACAAGCCACAATCTTTTTTTACGACTGTCATAAACAACTTAAGTCGTAAGACCATCGTTACCAAGTAAATTCTCTGGCAAATCATTTATAAAAAGTATAAACAAGAGAGGCCCTACGTTAGATCCTTGTGGAATACCCGAAACAGCCATGAATCTACTAGAAATCTTATTCATATCTTTAACCGTACAATTACGTTTGTGGAACAAAAAACTACAATGCATTTTTGGAGAATCCAGAATGAGGTTCATCGTGATTGCAATTTTTTTAATAAATAACGTGCCATGGAAGTTTAAGAGATAAGACAGAGACAGGGCGATTATTTTCAATAAAACTTTTAACTTCATTTTTAAAAATTGGAATCGCAAGCACCTGTGAATTTGCCATTTCTTCGAATCTTCTCTTATTTTGAAAAATGGCCTTTAACACACGATAAGGTTGTTAAAAATAAAAACACCAGTTATGGTACAGTATTTTTGCATAATAAAATATTTAAAGAGATATTTAAAGGAAGAAGGGTAGTAAATAAACCAAAATATTCCTCAAACTGTCAAATCGAGTAACCAAAAAAAGGAAAGGCTTCCAAAAAGCGATAAATATACAGGATGTTCCAGTTAAACGTAACAGAATTTTTTTTGTCCCACTTACCCCCAGCCAACTGGACTTGCCCCTCTCCCAGCTCTTGTCCTGGTACGTCTTGACCCTCAGGTCCTTGTGGAAGGAGGTCTTCTCGGAAGTGTCTTCCGCAACGTTTTCCACGAGGAACGAGGTGTAACAGTTGAAACCAAGAAAATCGTATGTGCCTTGCACGTACTCCACCTCCTCGCGAGAGAATTCCGGTAGCCTCGATCGCAGGTACCCTTCCTTTCTGCTCACGTCGTGCACCCTCTCTCGTACGAGTTTCGGAAAATCCCCGTCTGGGTGGAAAATCGGGTTGGCGTAGATCCCCACCTAATGAAAGGGGCGAATTTGAAAAAACGAAAATGTTGAATTATGCTTGAAATTGAAAGTAAGCCATCGCGTTTTGGTTTGTGGCACCTCTAAAAGTCTAGCAAACTATCTATAGTCTGTTTGGAAATGAAAGAGAGTAATAAAACCCCGAGATAAGAACCGGCCATGGGCGTGGTAATATTTCGTTTCAGGCAATTATCGGGTAACACTAATGCTAACAAAGATGACAGGGATTGGAAAATCGACTATCTACAGACTTTTAAAGGAAACAAAAAATGAACAAGATACTGTAAATCCCCCAAAATCATGTACAGGGAGGTCAAAAGTCGTTATAGATGATTTCTTCAAAAATGTCATTCGCAGAAAAGTACACTCGTTTTATTTTAAAAAAGAAATACCAACGCTAAACAAAATATTAAGTGAACTTTCAGAGGACAACGATTTGCCAAAAATCAGTAGAAGCAAATTATGGGCCGTCTTACGCGAGTTGAATTTTTGCTGGGAAAAGCAGAACAGGAAGTCAGTTCTTATCGATAAAGATGAAATTATTTGTTGGCGAAGATCCTACTTAAGATCAATTAGAAAATTCCGTGACGAAGGGAGGAATATTTATTATCTAGACGAAACTTGGGTCAACGAGGGATATACTGTAACAAAAGTATGGCAAGATAAAAATGTAAAAAGTTTTCGACAAGCATTTTTGGATGGACTTTCAACAGGGTTCAAGGCACCTTCAGGTAAAGGGCGAAGATTATTAGTGACACATATAGGTAGTGCCAGTGGTTTTGTAGATGGCGGTTTACTTTTAATTGAATCTAAAAATACAGGTGACTATCACGAAGACATGAACGCAGATGTTTTCGAAGATTATTTTACACAGATATTGGATCTTATTCCTCCGGGGTCTGTAATTGTCATGGATAATGCCAGTTACCATTCACGGCAGAGCGAGCGGACGCCTACGACTGCTTGGAGGAAAGCCGATATAATTCAATGGTTATCCGGAAAAAAAAACATTTCTTTTGAAACAAATATGGTGAAAAAGGAACTTTTGTCAATCTTAATAAAGATCAGAAAAAATATGTTATCGATGAAATGTCATCAAATCGCCAAATAACGGTACTACGGTTACCACCTTATCACTGTGAACTTAACCCAGTCGAATTAGTCTGGGCGCAGGTAAAAGGAGATGTAGCGCGAAATAATATGACTTTTAAATTAACTGACGTGAAAATGTTGTTAAAAAATTCCTTGGAACGAGTAACTGCAGATAACTGGCAAAGATGTATACATCGACTACAAAAAGAAGAGGAGAAAATGTGGGAACTCGATAATTTAATTGACGTTATTGTGGAACCTATCGTTATCAATCTAGGAGACGAAGATAATTCATCAGAATATCCAGAGAATGAATTTTAATATACCTACTTTTTTATTTTCATTATTGCACATTTATACAACACTACATTTACTCACCATAATTTGAATTTTCAAAATACATATATTTTTGTGTGGAATAAAAGTCTATTCATTAAATTTAAATAAATATTTTGCTAATATTGAATAATTTTATTTGAATTACTAAAAACCCTCTTAACCCGGTTATGATGCTTAAAGTAGCCTCATGTTTTGAAATGCTGTTTTTATATTGATTACTTATAAGAGAAATGGACCGAGAAATTGAAGCGGCATAGACAAAGACGGATTGTATTTTAGCTACCTACTACAATTTAGTACAGTCCGATCGCATATACCGATAATACATAATATAAAATATTGAATATAAGCACCAGTACTACATTTATTTCCGATTTGCATACATAATAAGCTTTTATTACTCTCTTTCATTTCTAAAGAGACTACCTATAGCTTTCCTTTTATTTTTTTTAATTTATTTACCTTAAATTGCATGGCTCTCTCGGCTGCTTCGATGTCATCGACAGCGAAGCTTCCAGGTTCATACCAGTTACCAGAAAAAACGATTCCTATTTTTCCTAAAAGTACAACGGTTTTAATGAATTTTTTTTAAGATTTAATTCTTGTAAAGCAATTTGACAACTGTTAGATACAACGTATAGAATAGAATACGTCCTTAGAATAAAAGGGATGATTCTTCGGTTAATTCTAAGAAAATAGTTACCATAAACAATAATTTTCGGCCATGCAACATGAACGAAAAGAGATAATTTATTGAAATTTGACACATTATAATAGTTCCTATAAAACTTAATTTCAAAATTTGACAAAATAAATAGGTTAAGTAAGATTAAATCGTTATATTTTGTCATTGACAGTACATAATTAATGGGATGACCTGCTTTTTTGTTACACCCTGTATAGTGTGCCAAATTTCAATAAATTGTCCTCTGTTATGCAGATAAAATTATTTTTTTTTGCTCAAATTGAATACCCTGTTACTAGAGAAATAAGCCGCTAGGAATTGTTTTTCTTAGAATTATCTAAGAAATCGTATCTCTCGTTATAGGAGTATACTTAATAACCACCCTGTATAGTACGACGTATGAATCTCAGAACTAAAATGGCCTCTGTGATTGTTTAAAATTACGCTCTTGAAATTTAAAGATCACTGTTTCGACAATAGTATCGGGTGTCCCAAATTTCGCGCAAAATTTGAATTTGGCGCCATTTGTGCGGCAAAGTGCTGCCAACGAAATGGCTGGAGGCATCATGGGAGCATTTTTCTTCGAAAATACGACTGGACAGGCAATAACAGTTAATGGTGCTCGCTAGCGCGACATGTTAATCCAGTTTTTGTGCCTAAACTGCAAGGTATGGATGTAGACGACATATGGTTTCAACAAGACTGCGCCATATGCCATACAGCACGTGGAACAATTCAATTACAACATGAGTCATTTCCTGGTAGTGTCATTTCCCGTTTTGGTGAGAATTGGCCGCCCAGATCATGTGATTTAACACCGTTGGACTTTTTTCAGTCTAAGGTTTATATCAACTAGCCCACGACCATCCACGCCTTGCAGGAAGAAATTGAACACTGTATCAAGGAAATTCAGCCGCATACATAAACTTATACTGTATAATATATGAATCTATAAAAAATTTACAATTTTTAGTTAAAAACTTGCGTTTTCTATCAGAATTACTTCTTGCGAGAATTTTGAGACACCGTTTAATCAATAAATATAACAACTTCGTTGGCGTGTGACAATATTTATAAATATTGAGCATTCCGCAGTATTGCGTAACAAGTACAAAATGATGTAAGATATCTTATCCGCGTATAGAAATAGATAGACAGTTGTACAGGGTAGCCCATCGAAAACGTACTGCAAGGCATTACAGGGTAGTAATGAACTTTTCGGCAAAATCTAAAAACAGGTAAAGTTTGCTTCTGAGAGGGACAACTTTTGGCGCAAAAAGCATAGCAAAATCTTCAACCCCCTAAGTGGGGGTGCCATCCCCCAAATTTTTTTAAATGGGAATGGGGGTCAAGTGGAGGGTCATTAGAAAGGGCTTTTAATTCTCTATACATCGATTCTTACTTTTTGAAAATCGATCCATTATTTTAGAAAATATGCAGCTTTGAAAATACGAACAATATTTTTGACGAGAAATGCGAAAATCGATTTAATTTTACTTCAAAACTTACGGTATTAGCTTGGTAAATTCCTTCAAAAGAATTCGCTGTTTTTTTTTTTGATTTGCGAATTCTTTAGCCTGATTTTGGTGAGCAAAAAATTGTCCGCTTTTTGTTTCGTATTTAGATAGGCCACAAGAAGTTGCTAGATAACTGTCTTGTGACTTGTAGTTGAAGAGTACCAATACTGCCGAGTCTTTTAAATTGATTAATTATGGTGTACTCAATTCCAGAAAGAGTAGAAATTATTGAGCTTTTTTTCAAAAACAATGAATGCGGAAATCGGGTCGCCGAACTGTTCAACCAACGGCATCCTGAGAAACATGCGTCTGGAAAAATTGTTCGCGAATTGGTGGCCAAATTTCGCGAAACTGGCTCCGTTCATAACAAAAAGAGGCAGGTTGAAAATCCGGTACTAAATGAACCTACGGAAATAGCGGTATTGGGGCAAGTGGCAATGGATAGTACGCTGAGTACAATGCAATTGGCTACTGCGACAGGAGTGAGTCGTACAAGTGTCCAACGAATATTAAAAAAATACAAATTCCATCCTTATAAGATTCGGCTAGTGCAAGAGCTAAATGAAGACGATTTTGATCGTCGTTTGCAATTTTGCGAAATAATGACTGAACGAGCGATAAACGATAATTTCCTCTTTAATGTGTGTTTTTCGGACGAGTGTACGTTCTTCTTGAATGGTTTAGTGAATCGCCATAATTGTCGTTACTGGGCTGATACCAATCCAAGGATTTTCCATGAGACACACTCCCAACACCCCCAGAAGTTGAATGTATGGGCAGGTATTTTTGGAAATTCCATTGTAGGTCCTTTTTTCCTTCCTGGAAATTTGACAGGCGATATGTACTTGGATTTACTACAAAATGTCATCGACCCAGCTCTAACAAATATCATAGAGGACGACCCTGCTTACAATGAACACGAACTGATTTTCCAGCAAGACGGAGCTCCTCCACATTACTCGCTCAATGTGCGCAATTACCTAAATGAGACGTTTCCAGGACGCTGGATAGGACGAAGAGGTGCAATTGAGTGGCCCCCTCGGTCACCCGACTTAAATCCTTTAGATTTCTTTCTCTGGGGGCACATTAAAAGCAAAGTTTACAGCACTCCACCTGATACCTTGGAAGATCTGCGAGGACGAATCATTAATGTATGTCGCGAAGTAACACCGCAAGTGCTCCAGAATGTTCGACAACGGTTTGAAGACAACCTGTATCATTGTATGCAAGTTGGCGGACAACATTTTCAGCATTTACTTGACTAATACCGTAAGTTTTGAAGTAAAATTAAATCGATTTTCGCATTTCTCGTCAAAAATATTGTTCGTATTTTCAAAGCTGCATATTTTCTAAAATAATGAATCGATTTTCAAAAAGTAAGAATCGATGTATAGAGAATTAAAAGCCCTTTCTAATGACCCCCCACTTGACCCCCATTCCCATTTGAAAAAATTTAGGGGATAGCACCCCCACTTAGGGGGTTGAAGATTTTGGTATGCTTTTTGAGCCAAAAGTTGTCCCCCTCAGAAACAAATTTGACCTGTTTTTGGATTTTGCCGAAAAGTTCTTTACTACCCTGTAATGCCTTGTGGTACGTTTTCGATGGGCTACCCTGTATATGTACTACATTAGATTGTATTACATTAATAAAAGACATTTAATTTAATAAAAATAAGTGTATGAACTGCACACATTGATTTTTTACGTTTATATCCAAGAATATTTAAAATAAATTTAAAAACCCACATTTTCACTGATATAAGACTTGCTCCCTTTATCACAATTTCTCTATTCAATGAATGATTGCGATATTTTATGGTTTATTTAAAAAAACAAATAATAATCCGGGCGAATTAGACCAAACACATGCTTGTTTCAAAAATCGGGCCTAATTTTAAGACAATATTTTATACGTCAACCTCTTCTGGGCACGGTAAATAGAATACTGATCATTTTTTTCAAAGTTTTAGATACGGAAAAAGACCTTCTTACTTTTCAAAATATCGAAACCATAATGAAATTACAAAAAAAACGTGAAGAGTCAATAAAAATGTATATTTCGGGGTCTGGCGATGACTTTCATAGACTTTTGCTTACACCATTCGAAAGATCGGAAAAAATAATCCATTTGTTAAGTAAGAATTTTGAGAAGCCGAGCGCAGCAAAGGCACTATGACGTCACAGCGCTCCCCTGTCCTGGCTACCGCTCAGCTGATTAGGCCGCCGTACGAATCACTCTGTCTTTAACGCACATTTACTTGGTCATTTCTTGGTCGAATCCATTAAAAAAAAATTCATTGTATAAAGGAAGTCTTCTACTTTACAACGAACCCAAGTTTATTACAAAATATTAAATAGAAAAGCCAGAAAAAAAGAAAGAAAATTATCTAGGCTCCTATTAGTCGGATCGAGACGCTTTTTTTTAAAGCCATATTTCTTTAAACACTATTTGATGTAATTGGTTTGAAACCTGTATATTAAAAAACCGCCGAGATAAGGACCCTAGTTACCGATTTTCTTTGATTTTTTGTTAATAACTTTCTTATTTTGCAACTTAAAAATCTGAAATTTACGCAAACGCGAGACAATGCAATAACCTTTCGATCCTTGTTTTACCGAATTTCGATATCTTGACTTGGGCAGAAGATATACGCGCTCGCATTTTCGACTTTATAATTTTGCAGTAGGCCGCCATTTTGAAATTAGGGGTCCGGATTATGGGTATTTGATGAGCACCCCAACAGTTATCTTTTCCTGTAGTTCATCCAATTTCAGTCAAGTTCGTTCTTTTGCAATGCTGAAAATTTTGCACATTTTTTTCTTCGCCGCCAATTTTGCAATGTAAAAAAATGTTTGAGACTTTTCGCAATGGTCTGTAGCAAATTTCCTCAGGAACAAAATCGATAAGTATACCTCATGTCGATTAGAGGCTTATTTTCGCAGATATAAGCGAAATACTGAAAAAAAGAGCAATTATTTTTTTTCTGTTGTTATAAACAAAACATTGTAAACGCTGGACTTCTACAAATACACAAATTTAGGCTTTTATTCTGTATATTTTTTACTTAATTTTAATTCCACAAAATTTGAGTTAGGCCCGATTTTTGAAACAAAAACGAATTCGCCTGGACTATAAGCCAATAACATTTCCAAACCCCAACCAGTTTTCTACGTACCTTTCTGCAGAATCCTAAACTCTTTATCATACAAATGATAAGCCTTGGCGTGGGCCAAAGTGAGGACTTGATTACACAAGTAGTTTGCGATACCAGACTGGTTCAAAAACGGTACAAAACCGTCATCTCCGTAACCAATACAAGCCCCATTAAAAGTGATCCAATACTTCACCCTATCCCCGAAATAGCTGTAGAGAACTCTGGCATAGTCCTCGAAGTAATAGGCCATGTAAGGGTTGGTCCATCCCCCCAGTTCGTGGAGGGCTAGGGGTAGGTCGCCGTGGTACATCGTGACCATAGGTCGAATCCCTGAAATGGAAAGAAGGTTAAATTCTCTTTAAGCTACTTAAAATATCTTTAGAGTCAAGTAACCGGGGCATTGGAAGCGATCTGAGTCAAGTGTTTTTTGCTGTGGGTTTATTTTTGGTACTCTTTTAACCAAACAGGAGGAAAAGTAACAAGGAAGAGGAAGAAAATAGTACCAATTTGCATGTTATACTATTTTCTTTTTGAAATATTTAACAATACAATACGAACGCCGACCTTGAATATTAGTCCAAGCATTCTGTCACGGATTAATGTTAAATTTGCAGAAATTATTACCTGGACAAAAAAAATATGACCGTATAGAAAATTAAATTTTAAATTGAGTTTCTTGTTCTTTAAATTCGATCCAATATGGCGAACATGGTTAAAAAAAATCGCAAAATTGAAAAAAACGGTTTTTCTAAAATAACTAAAAATATATAGCACGGATTGAAAAATTTTAAATGAGAAAGTTGTAGGTTTTAAAAAGATCTATCGACTGATTTTTTGAAAGTATCGATTGCTTTGTTACTTTTCGAGATATATCGAAAAAACCGTTAAAAATCTTCTCTTTTCTCTTCTTCTATAACTCGTTTACATTTACGTGCCCATATTTGCTATTTACTGCAAGCATAGCCCGCGGCAAGCCAAAAAAGTACATTTTTGAAAAATTTAAAAATATTAATTATTTTTCGAGATATATCGATTTTTTGAAAAAAAGGCGCTCTCGAAAATTGGCTAGATCTTCTCAGCGGATAGCCCTACAGTAACGATTTTCGGTTTATTTTCTTCGTAAAGAGTTATATTATCATGCTGTTAAAAAATGTTGACGATTTTATTAATTTTAAGGATCAAAAAATGACTGAAAAAGTTGCACTTTTTTTGGGTATGTTTTTTTCAAATAACTATTTCAATTTTTATTATTTTTTTGTACTTAATCTGGGGTAGCTAAACACGAATATTATAGCATTTTCGCCTTAGAAGCAAAATAGACCCGTAAATGTTTAGTTTTCTTTCTTTAAAAGTCATTTTCATAAAATAAAAATTGAAATAGTAATTTGAAAAAAACATACCCAAAAAAGTGCAACTTATTCAAAGTCATTTTTTGATCCTTAAAATTAATAAAATCGTCAACATTTTTTAACAGCATGATAATATAACTCTTTACGAAGAAAATAAACCGAAAATCGTTACTGTAGGGCTATCCGCTGAGAAGATCTAGCCAATTTTCGAGAGCGCCTTTTTTTCAAAAAATCGATATATCTCGAAAAATAATTAATATTTTTAAATTTTTCAAAAATGTACTTTTTTGGCTTGCCGCGGGCTATGCTTGCAGTAAATAGCAAATATGGGCACGTAAATGTAAACGAGTTATAGAAGAAGAGAAAAGAGAAGATTTTTAACGGTTTTTTCGATATATCTCGAAAAGTAACAAAGCAATCGATACTTTCAAAAAATCAGTCGATAGATCTTTTTAAAACCTACAACTTTCTCATTTAAAATTTTTCAATCCGTGCTATATTTTTTTAGTTATTTTAGAAAAACCGTTTTTTTCAACTTTGCGATTTTTTTTAACCATGTTCGCCATATTGGATCGAGTTTAAAGAACAAGAAACTCAATTTAAAATTTAATTTTCTATACGGTCATATTTTTTTTGTCCAGGTAATAATTTCTGTAAACATTTCTCTATAATGCTTGGACTATATTTTTATGAGCCATAATCTGATTTTTCTTTCATATAAATGTATACAATATTGTAAATAAATAATTTTCAATAGTAAAACTACATAATTGTTATTTTTAAAATTATTTTAAAATTGTAAAACTACGTTCTTGTAGAAAAAATAGGTAGCTATTGAGCGAGAATAAATTTAAATACATGAATTTTGAATATTTTTGGTGATTATATTGATAGAATAATAATTGTCGATGATGTATAATATCAATTTGTTCCATTGAGTGAAAAAAATTGTTTCCAAAACGAGAAAAACAAAAATTTTATTTTTACTTCAACTTCAATCGTGAATAACTTTTGAAGGAGTAAATTTATGCAAAAATGTTAAGTGACCTTTTTTGTAGAGCATTAAATTTCCTTTGAATATCTGTATTGTTCTTTTTCAGATATTAATTTGCTCGTTATTTACAAAATTCCAAAGTTATAAAGTCAAATCGAAAAAACATCAATTTTCAAGGCTTCATGGCTCGTCTGCCGAAAATTTTCAATCGGACCATTTTTGTAGGGCATTCAATTTCCTTCAAAAATATAAATAGATAATTTTTTTACCTCGATGGTTTGGCAGTTTTGACGCAAAATGGGATCCGGAAGAAAAAATCGAAACTAGCGATGGTAGAACCTCTTACAACCAATATGAAGGACTCAAACTCTCACTATATATTTTTTTCGTCATTCTGAACGATATTCTCGATATATCTTTCAAAAAAAAAAAATTGTCGATTTTTTTGGCCTAGTCTAATGGATACACTTACCATTTGCCAACAGTTCGTTGATGAGGTCGTTGTAGTATCTCAAACCATCTTTATTGATATTATGAGAGTATCCCTCGGGCAAAACCCTGCCCCAAGAGACCGAGAACCTGTAAAATTGCACCCCCAGGTTCTTGATGAGCTTCACGTCCTCCCTAAACTTATGAAACGAATCGCACGCTATCTTTGCAGTCCCTGGACTATAAAACTTTCCCGGATAAGTCTCCATGTAGTAGTCCCAGATATTTTTGCCATATCCTACGGAAAACTTCAATCAGTCACACTCTTCGAAATTTTATTATTTATTTACCGTTGCCCTTCTGACCGCCTTCAATCTGGTAAGCACTGGTAGCCACCCCGAAGAGAAAGTCGTCAGGGAATCGGTGCTTGCTCAGGAGGTCCTCTGCGGAGGCACTGAAAAACGCGTAACAATACAGAACCCTGTAACGCTGCTCCGAGCGAGGTTACCTTTGACAGAACTCCGTAAGAAAGAAGAGTAGGCCGGTGTACAACAGCATGGTTCGTTACTCACTACCGAAAATTCTACAAAGTTTTCTGTAGATGTTCTGCGTGATATTTAAGCGTTTTATCGCCATAGAAACTTTGTTTATGTCTCGTCCTTTTCTACTGTTTGTCTGGTCGTCGTTTCCAAGGACAGGGCCGTAACGAGGGGGTAGAACCAGAAATAATGCTAGTTTCAACGCACGATTTATTTAGACCAGGAAAGTTAGCGAAAAAAAAAGAGAAACTCGAAAAAATTCCTATCCGCGATATTATTGTAAAATTGTCTAAAGGAACATAATACAAAACATCTCTCATCTCGTGAGTCAAAAAATTTTATTAGCTAACTTTTCTGTTTGAACAAATAAATGAGGAAAACAGTCTTTTCACTTTGCAGGGAAAACCATCAATTTTAGCGAAAAGTGACTCACAGACAGCTTCTAGGCAATAAATTATCTACAAAATGAGACTTGTTAAATTAAAATCGATTAATAAACAAAAAAGTTATTGCAAAAACACAAGAAAAATGCCTATTTTTTAATTTGTTTATAACTATCGCATTTATTGTTAAAATTTTATAAAACCTATGACAAGTTGAGTGTTTTGTCATACCTACTACAAAAGTGTGCCAAAAGTGGGCGCTGTAGGTGCAATAGTTTTCGCACAATTCAATTTGTTTATGACGGAGGCTCCAAAAATTATGAACTTTAAGCCTCTGTACAGGCGTTAATTTTCAACCAAACAAGATTCTGAAAGCGTCATTGTAATCTTAAAGACGTAATTAGCGACTTATTAAAAAATATCACCGTTTTTTTGATATTAACATTCTCAAATTGTGCATTAAAAAAACGTGCGTTTTCGCTTATAAACAATTTGAATAAAATTAATTAAGACTTGAATTTTTCGCAAAATAAAGTTTAAGACGTAAACTACGATTTCCCGTGAATTGCACTGAAAAATGTGGAAAATTAACGACTCACGAGCCCTTTAAAGAGAAGGTACTTGCTAAGTTCAAATTGATGCGCGCTGTACATTTTGCAATATCTCGGCTTCTATTCATCGTAGAAACTTCTTTTTTTTTTAAACTGGGGTAGCTCGACGAAAAAATAACAATGGGCATATTTACGAATTTGTAGAATAGTCCTGAACCCCAGAAAAAATGCATCTTTTATACTGAATTTTTTTTAATTTACAAAAATGTCACAAAAATTATTGTTAAACGAAATATTAATTAAAATTTCAATTTCGGAATTATTTAAGTATTACTAAATAAATAAATGAAGCTATCGTTCATTTAAAAAGTATTTTTTTTACATATTAAGCCTAAGTAAACTTATTTTTTCAATAATTTGTTAGTTATTTAATTACGATTTAAATGTAAAATTAAAGTAAAAATTCACAAATTATTTTCAAATTATTATTTCTCATAAAAATAAAAAAATAAGGTCTTTAAAATCAAATTTTTTTTCCGAAAATCAACACAGTGGACTGAAATTTGCTACAAATAAGTTTTCAAAAGTGTTAAATTTGTTGTTGCTGTTAGTTTCTGTATATCCGGTAGAAATCTCCAGCTACAACTTTGCCAAGTGGCATTTTATAACCTAACTTTTTTGAGGTTATATATCAAGCGGTGTAAATGGTATATTACAGCGAAAAAATTCATTTTAAATAAAAATGGCACTCTTGTTAAACTCAGGAAAAACTCGCGATTTCGAGAAACACGCAATTGACCCTCACAAAGTCAACCAGTTTCCTGTCCCTTAATATACAGGGTGATTCAAAATTCAGTACCTACAAAGAATTTAGGGTCGTATTTTTGAGGTCAAAATAAGACTTTTTTTCCTATAAACGTGGGTCCACAAATTTTTTTTAATTTTTATTAGGAATAAACAAGACCAATGAAATATTTAAATTTAACATCCTAAAATGTATGCCGACATTCAAATTTGTTTGGAAATTAATCCTAAAAAATCAAAAAAAATAAAAAACTTTAACATCCTGTAAACCCACCTCAAAAATACGCCCCTAAATTCTTTGTACTGATTTTTGAATCACCGTGTACAGTGTCCGTGCAGCAATATACAGGATGTTTGTTTAGTACTTGTACAAACTTTAAAGGGTGAATCTTTAACTAATTTTAGGTTAAAAAGTTGGCTAAAAACGGCTTGATTCTTGAGATACAGTATCCAAAAAAAAAATTGTTTCAATTATTGTAAATATTATTAACTTATTTATAGAAGTAGTTTAGTCTTCGTCTTCGGTAAATGATCTAAGTTTGTCCCATCGCAATACAATCAGCAAAATACATTTTTTCGCTTGTTTTTCAAAAATGTCCGCAATATAACTTTAAAAAAGCAACTTCTTCGGTCGTTTCATTTAACTCCTGCTCAAGAACTTGAAAATTTAGATCCCAACGCACACTTTCAATTTTACAATGAACGGACTTGTAAATTTTCATAATTTGCATGTTTGGAGTGATGAGAATCCTAAAGAAACACGACAATAATGACATTACCTGATAGCCACAGCAATCAACATCTTAAGTCCATTGCCTACTAAACTCAAAGTTTTAAATCCCTGACATTGCTACGCAAACCGAAACAGACCTGCAAATAATGCCATTTTTCTCAAGAATGGCTTTCTGTACGCTTTTTTCTCAAGAGACAATATTTTTTTAAATAAAACCTTTTTAATGTTGCTGCCCATTTTAAAAAAATACGACCACTGTAAAAGTTTTCACTGCTAAAAGGGAGAGGTAGGTAACCGGAGAAAATTATCGCCCAGTATATCGATTTGACTAAAGTTTTAAGAAATAATACGCCATAAGAGTCCAAATAAATGTGTCAAATTTTAACGCGATCAGTGAAAGGGTTAGGAAGTTATTAATTAAATTAGTTTTATTTTTGAAAATTTTGAAGGCCTGTAACTCAAATACCAAAAATTTTTTATTTAATTTTTTTTGCAGATCGTATTTATTTATCGTCGTGAATATGCAGTCAAACGTTGTCGGTGAAATTTGCTGACGCCCTGTATATTCCTGCTGATGGACTTTGCTACAGTTTTTCTCAAAAAGCGGAATGATTTCGGCGGTATTTTTTATGTAAACTGAAGATTTGCGTTATTGTATACGACATATGAGGTAAAAAATATAACCTCAAAATAGCTGTCATAAAAATGTCAGTGGGTAAAGCTGGTAGATTCAAAAACAAATAACGCCGATGTATTTAGTAGCCTCAAAAACTTCCTTATGCCAATTTTCAGTGCATTTCATTATTTTTGGAGTAGATATGGATAAAATTTGATACAAAAGTCATATTTGATATTCTGTGTATTAAAAACAAAAGGGGATAGGTCCATAGGGGGTAGAAGTCTTATTTTTTATGTTCTATCACTCCATGAAAATTATTGCATTTGAAAATATTTCACTACCGTGTACTTTTTAAAAACATAAAAGACGACTATACCCATAAATTTTCAAATATCGTATTTTTTCCCTCAATTAAAAACTATTGAGTCCTTATATTATTCCCTACAGTGCAAATAAATTGACTGAGTGAATGAACACTGCTATAAATCGAATGCAAAAATACACTGACAGGAATCAGACGTTCTGAATAATCCTTAAGCCGGTGCTGTCGCGATGATGGTCTTGAGAATTAAATTATTGTGATACTGATAACAGCGCCAAACAAGGTCACATATTATACACACATAGGTCAATTACTATCACCGCTGCCTTTCTCAAATATTTTGCAGCGAGATAGTATAATAATTAGAAGGTGCCAAGGCTTAAAACAAATCAGTAGTAAAACATGAAATAAACAGTTGTAAGCCTACACTAGAAAGCATGATCGCATTCGTTTTTTCTTTCCATAAATTTCGATAGATATCGATTAACTGCCAGGATTCATTCATTTGTTTCGAAATAGCTGATTTATTTGCCGCAACGAATGTAAACATAGATATAATAAAAATGTCTGTTAATCTTTCAAAAATACAGTATCACGTTGAGAGACTGGCACTATTGAAAAAATATGTTTCACAAAATTCTGTTACGTTTTTGTCTAATTTTTTTAAACTTTCAACTACGCATTTGATAAGAACACAATTCCAACATTATTTTAATTAAATACAATAAAATTTAGTACTAGTTGGCCATGGAATCGTGTTACATTTAGTTTTAAGCATAATTATATTGTAAGTTCTTCCTTTACGAATAATTTACAACAATTTCTACAAAATAACGTTTTCTTGGTGTCTATAATGAATGCAAGATTGTGACTTAAAAAATTACTATTGGTTATTATGTACAGGGTGTTCCGAATTTCCAACGATCACTAGATGAATTAATTTAAAAACAAAGCAATGAAGATAATGTCGTTTTCTTAATTTTCGAGGTACAGGGGTTTCCAAAAAAAAATATCCACGGCACTGGATTTTTAATCATCGTCTCTAATTTTCGGAGGAGTTTTTTGAATTTTGAATTTTTACATATTTGTATGGACTTCAATAAATAAATGCAAAAATATTAAAGAGATGAGTATATGTATTGAAAAAAAGTACATATATTAGAAATCCTTCAGAATACAAGCAGACACTTCAAATCACCTTTACGAAATATCTCAAAACCGTACATAATATTAATAATTTTGTGATGTACATCACACCATACACTTAAATGAGCTTCAAAATTCTTCGAATTAGCTTTAGTATCGTTCAAAAACCATCAAAATTTCTATAAAATATGTTAAAGTAAATCGCTATTCCTTCAGAAAGCAAAAATTGGAACAAAACAGCTTTAAAACACAGTAACATATATCGAACAAGTTTTAAACTGCATAAAAATTCTTCAAATCAGCTGTAAATTACAGTAAGATTGATAGAAACATATTCAAAATGCATCAAAGAACGACAGACTATATCGAAATGTCACTAGAAATCGTCCAGAAACAATTAAATATGTCAAAATATACTGACAGCATCAAAATACCTGGAAATATTTCGAAATATCATGATCTCGTGGTGCGTTTCGAACCCCTGCGTGTATTTTTACAGAGTTTGGGAATCAAAATTTATGTTATATTGCGTTCACAACATCTTATCTAAGAAAATATTGATACAGGAGTATTCGAGTGTGCCTATCACGAATATCGAACTCCCTTTGCACCATTTCAACCCCTAAACATATTATTAGGGTAGGGGGCTAAATTCCATACGATATAACTGTCACGTCAATTTAATCGTGTCTCATTGTGAAAAATTTAATTTTTGACTCTCAAAATTATTCTTGAAAGTAACTAATATTGCCAATGAGCTTGTTTGGCTTTAATTTTTAGGTTGATCCTATTCAATTCGATAAATTGTCCCGCACCATTCGTAAACTTACATTTTTTTTTGTAAATTTCAAGATTTTTTTGAAATTTTTTAATTGAAATACAAAAAAGTCAGCGTGGGTATACTAGTGGGAAAAAGTACCACACGAACACACTGAAAAAACAAAGCATTTGAATCAAATGAGCTGACAGTTTTAAATGGAATTATTTGCCGTAAATTGACTTTCGTCAAACTATGTGAAATATTTGCTGTAATCTGTAATTTTTCTTATTATCTCGGACTTTAGCTACAATATCTCTTACAGTTCATTATAAACTGCAAACATAGGTATTCGCTTCAAAACTACCAGTTACTTAAAATATACAGCGTGGTAAAAAAGTTCTGCATAAAATTCATATTTTCGTTAAACAATTTTTTTCGAAAAACGGTGAGACCCGTCTATTTTTATTTGATCCAGGGCACCTTGTTATGTGGAAAAAATTTTTTTTCGATAATCCACTTACGGCAGCGATGACATAATTTTTTTTTAAATGACAACGCATATTTTTTTCGTTCGAAATTGATGACAGTGATAATTATCTAAACAACGGTGTGAAAATTTCGATGTCTTACATAACAATTTTTTTTAGAAAAATGCACCTTAAGTTCTTAAAAGTGATAATTGTCTACTTACACTATTAATGGCTCCGAAAAGGACAAAGTTGACAAAATTACATTTCAAACGAGTAAAATTACACTAATGTTTGTGTAAGTCTAGCGAAATTGTTCGAATTGCCCACCCTGTACCATTTGGCATTGTCCTAAGCGTGTGTAAACGCCGTCTACACTTCGTTCAAGCATTCCCGGGTCGATTTGATTTATTTCAAAACGAATACGGTTTTTAAGTTCTTCCAAATCACCTGGTCTGTTTGTGTACACACGCGATTTCAAATAGCCCCACAAAAAAAAGTCTAGAGGTGTTAAATCAGGCGAACGCGGAGGCCACTCGATTGTTCCGCGTCGCCCGATCCACCGGCCAGTAAACGTGTTATTCAAGTACTCCCGTACTTGCACTCCATAATGGGGCGGTGCACCATCCTGCTGAAACCAAATTCTTTCCTCAGGAATATCAGGATCCTCGTTGTTCGGGAATAACTCTGCTAAGCTTGGGACCAAATCGAACCGCAGGAAATCCAAATAGCGAGCAGCAGTTAAATTTTCCTCGAAAAAATACGGGCCTAAAATACGACGCCCTATTATTCCCGCCCAAACGTTCACCTTTCGGGGGTGCTGATGATCTACTTCTTGCACCCAGTGCGGGTTTTCCTGAGACCAATACCGGCAGTTATGTCGATGCACCGATCCATTAAGATAAAAAGTAGCCTCGTCAGAAAAAATTATGTTCTTGAGGAAGTCGGGGTCTCCGTTACATCGATGCATTAAATCTTCACAAAAGTGGAGACGGCGGTCTGGGTCGTCCTCAGTCAATGCATGTATCAAGTGACCCTTATAGGGGTGAAATTTCTCTTTTTTGAGAAAGTTCACCACAGTTACATGTGAAATATCATTGTTCAATGCAATCGACCTTGTACTAGAATGAGGGTTGTCCTGGAGCTCCACCAGGATATTCAATCTAGTTTCATCATCTACTCTAGGACGACCCGCACGAGGAGCATCTTTCACACTACCAGTTTCCTCAAACCTTGCCAGTACCCTACTAACCGTAGATTGCGTAATTGGTGGTCTGTCAGGGTACGTTGCATTAAATAATTGGCAAGCTTCTTGATGGGTTCGTAACTTATCGCCGAAACCAATCATCCTCAAAATATCAATTCTTTCGCGTTCACTAAGTTTTGCCATTTCGAATTAAACGATTTCACCAAAGAATGTTAAATCGGTACTGATTTTTAGTCTTCAATATTTCAGGTAATCTACTCCTTTCAAGTAAACATTTCTTTGGATCTTTTTTTTTTGGGGAATTTATCGGCAAACTCGAAGACAAAAAGTCGACCTTAATTTGCTACATACTATTTGGATTTTGTGCGGTTGAACTTGGTTCTAAATTTTGCAGTTTAATCAGGATCCTGACAATATCTGATGAATAATTCCGCAAATATTACATAACACCAGTTGCAACTTAAGTTATCTGAAATGCTTTCTGCCGAATAAATTTTTTCCTAAGGCATTTGATCCGTAAACAGCAAATTATTGCATTCAAGAACTTAAGGTGCATCTTTCTAAAAAAAATTGTTATGTAAGACATCGAAATTTTCACACCGTTGTTTAGATAATTATCACTGTCATCAATTTCGAACGAAAAGAATATACGTTGTCATTTAAAAAAAAATTATGTCATTGCTGCCGTAAGTGGATTATCGAAAAAAAAAAAATTTCCACATAAAAGGTGCCCTGGATCAAATGAAAATCGACGGGTCTCACCGTTTTACGAAAAAAAATAGTTTAATGAAAATATGAATTTTATGCAGAACTTTTTTACCACGCTGTATATAATATATTTAAAATTTAGTATTAATGTAGGAATTATTCAATATTATAATCAAACTTATATTTCCTTGAAAGAAAATTGTAGGCCACAGAATGGCGTAGGTGGGAAGTAGCACAATAGATTACACCCTGTATATAAGTTGCCGACTTTTGGGACTATTCTAAAAAAAATTGGCTATAATAATGCAGCCGTTGGATGTCTGAAAACCGCGTTGACCGTCCTGATGCATTCTCTATCTGTTGCAGGCTCGAGAGTCAATCAAAACCGACTGCTAGAATTCCGAGCGACGGTGGAATCCGGTCAAGTAGGCCAGGAATTCCGTGTGAGGGCGGCCACCCTCTGGCTGAAGGCGGATATCCTGCAGCGAGGGCCCACCAAGTGCAGGAGCACCGACATTTTTGTCTTCAAAATCATATCCAATAGGTTACCGGAGTCTGTGACGCTCAGTTCAAGGGTGAGTACCATTTTTATTTATTCGCTTATTTATTTATTTAGTTATACTTGAAAATATTTTAAATCAATTTCTTTTGGCCGTATTTGTTAATAGATTTTTACCCCATAATCGTAGCACGTCTAGTTTCCTATATACAGCCGCTCCGTACTGTTAATGAATCACCCTGTATATGACTTTAAGACACTACCTTTCTATTCTTGAAAAAATGTATTTTTTGTTCCATTGACCAGTGTCTGACACTTAGGATACAATTAAAATGTAAACAGTTTAAGTAAGACATCATTTTTACTTATTTCTTACGTGATTATAGTTTCTATTTGGTCTCATTTATTTCTAAAATCCAAATCTAAATATCATGTGAGAGATAATAAAAACATAAAACATAACAAAAGACATTAACGCTATGTAAATTATCTTTTCTAATTCCAACTTATTGTGTAAGGTAATCTGCCGCTGTCACTGTTAAGATGAAGTCCGCCGTCCGATTCTCTCGACGCGGCGCAGCGAGGCCTAGGTCAGGTTGTTATAAAAACAATTTGAGAAGAAATAAACTATGTTGAACTAAAGGGAACTGTTGTATCAGCAAGTGTCGCATATTAGTGAAAAGAGAATTAGATATTTGACCGTAGCCACGGCAGGAGTGTTTGTAATGAAATAATAATAGTAAAATAATATTTTTTTGTAAAAGTTGAGTTTTTGTCCTTACAAGTCAGAAGTGGGATTGTTCTCATTGTCCAAATAAAAATAAAAACATTTTGTGAAGTTTGTGTGTGAAAAAACTATGGATAGAGAGAAATCGACGCCTCGGGGAGCCGTGCCTGCTAGCGCTAGGGGTTCGCATACTGCCTGCGAGGATGAAGGCCGATCACTAACACCTCCATTGGATTTGGAGCGAGAAGTGAAACGTTTGAGGCAGGAAATAGATAGTTTAAAAAAGGCAGAAACTGTAAGTAGTTTTGATTATACTGATTTGGAAAATTTTGCTGATCTACCAGATTTTGATCCTGCCGATAAAGATTTAAATATTTTAAAATGGATTCGGCTTGTTGACGCGAGAGCTCATTTTAATAAATGGGATGATATCACTACCTGTCGGTATGTTACAAATAAACTAAAAGGTCGAGCTTGGCGTTGGTACTCTAATTTACGTTCGATTAGTCATAGTTGGGAGAAATGGAAAACTATGCTATTAGAAACGTTTGATGTGTCAGATGCGGTAGGATATTTGTTTTGGGATGCAGCAAATTTAAAACACCAGTCAGGGCAGAAACTGGTAGATTATTATTATGAAAAATTAAACAAACTTTATAAATTAAATTGGCAAATTGGGGATAAGGATATCATTGATATAGTTATACATGGTATTAATGATACGTTTGTCCGATCTTTGACTTCTACAAAAGAATTTCCAAATTTAGATGCGTTTGTCGCATTTTTGAAAAATTGGGATATTAAAAATCAAATTAAATCTAATGATCATATTACATCAGGCGCTGTGAAAGCAGATATTACTTGTTATAAATGTGGCAAAGTTGGCCATAAACGAAATCGATGCGTAAAAAGATTAAAATATAAACCTGAAAGTCAACCTTCAACCAGCAACGTTTGCAATTATTGTAAAAAGCCCGGTCACATAGAGAAAGATTGTTACCGGAAACGTAATAGAGAAGCCTTTAAGAAAACAGCTAACAAAGTAAATTTTATATGTAATACTGATACTAATATGTATTGTAAAATTGCTCTTGTTAAGGGGAAGAAGATACAATCTCTTATAGATACGGGGAGCGAGTGTACTCTTATGAGAGAGTCTGTAGCAGAGCGATGCAACTTAAATTTCAAATCTGAAGGAAATTACAGGTTGAGATCATTTACGGGAAGTATTGTTGAAACTCAAAAAAGTGCATACGAAGAAATTAAAATAGATAGTGTAGCAGCTTTCACTTGGATATTAGTTGTTCCAGATGATTCATGTCCAGTTGACCTTTTGGTAGGAAATTCATTCATTAATCAACCTCAAATAAGTTTCGTGAAAAATCGAAATGAATTTAAATTTGTTGGACCTATTGAAGACATATTTACGCTTTGCGTTCAAAAGGACGATCCTTTGCAGATATTAAAAGATATAACTGGAAAATTATCAAAGAAGGACTTGAATACTCTATTTTCTTTATTAACTAGATTCCGAGATCGAATCGCAGCTAATTTTTCCGAAATGGGTTGTATAAAAGAATTCAAAATGTCTATAACTCTTCAAGAGGGCTCACTACCTGTTGTATATCGACCTTATCGACTTTCTATTGATCAGAGACAACTTGTCAAATCATTGGTACAGGAACTTCTAGACAATAAAATAATTCGAGAATCGGATTCTTCTTTTGCTAGTCCTATTATTCTTGTCCCAAAACCAAATGGGAATACCAGATTGTGTGTGGATTTTCGAAAATTAAATTCTGTCACAATAAAAGATAAATTTCCCTTACCCCTGATCGAGGACCAAATAGACATGTTAGGAAAATATAAATATTTTATTTCTTTGGATTTATTTTCTGGTTTCTATCAAGTTCAGATGGAAGAAAATTCTATTCACAAAACCGCATTTATTACACCCGATGGACACTTTGAGTTTTTAAGAATGCCGTTTGGGCTTACTAATGCCCCTTCCGTTTTCCAGAAAATTATCAATAAAATATTGAGTGAATTATCATCTGAAGTTGCTACAGCCTATTTAGATGATATTTTAATACCAGCAAATACAATTTCTGAAGGTTTAAAAAAATTAAAAGATGTGTTGTCTTTATTTAAGAAATATGATATTACTTTACAATTGCCCAAATGCACGTTTTTCAAGGAAAAACTTGATTACTTGGGTAGAGAAATTTCACAAGATGGTATTCGACCTGGCAGCAAAAAGGTACGAGCAGTAGCAGAGATGATGCC